TTTTATTTGAACAAATATTTTCTATATCAAAGTTTTTTATGCTTGTGCTTCAGAGATGGACACAAACAAAAACATTTTATTAACAGACATTTGAATCGTTGCGGCGAAAGAGTAGCTCTTATTTTTCTCCAAATAATACTGCAACATAAAGTTTTTTATGAATAGTTTATTTGTTGTATTACAACAAATAAACCGTGTGAAAAAAACTTCATGTTACAGTATTATTTGGAGAAAAATAAGAGCTACTGTTTCGCCGCAACGATTCATTTGTGTAGTGTTTTATTTTCGTGAGAAATGTATAAAATTCAGTTTTTTGTCCTTTGCACTGTGCTCTTTGCTAGTGAGTATATTTTCATAATCAAACAGAAGAATTAACTAAATTTTTATCTATAAATAGTGTCGATTGACTCAGCAGAAACTGATACACCAAGATGTATCGTTCTTGTTAATGTGCTACTTACGCCAGAGAATCCATACTTTAAAAAGCAAATGTTTCCGGATATGAGTACTAAGCTTCTCGCCAACCAGAGGCAATACAATCTTAATTCAACAGAAGGTAATCTATCTATATTTGTTATAGAACTGCCCACTGAACCGTACTGAGCAGTTCATGTTCGGAAAAGAATATATTTTTATGTTCGGTTCAACATGTTCACAATTGATAATATTGCGTTCTTGTTCGTTTATGTTCAAGTTCAACTATTTTCATTTGTTCATGTTCGCGTTCGCGTTCGGTTTACGTTCATTTGAAACGAAACCAAATTGAAGACAAAAAGATTGCTAACGATGCATTATACACAGAAGCTGTGGCAAGAGGTCTTCCATACTATAAGTGTATATTTTATTCAAAAGAGATATAGATAAATAAATAATAATATGATGCTAATTAGAGAACCTAATTCTAAAAATTGTTTTTTGCAATTTTTCAGGGTATGCTGATGCTCCAGAAAATTACTTTTGTAAAAAAGGAGGAGTACCGATACTTCATGGAATGAATGACAAGAAAATCAAATATTGTTATGTAAATAAATAAAAAGTCAAATAACAGCAAATAGTCCATTTTGTAGCATTCATCGAAGATTTTTTAAATCCTTTTTTGCAAAAATTGAAATATTATCGAAAAAATGAGCAAAACTAGCATTAGTGTCTATAGCTGAAGGTAATAATAATGGATATCCACTGCGCAACATGCTGTAATATCAAACTTCAATTCGATTGAATTGAATCAACATTTCCTGGAGTGTACAGCATAAAAAACATACGTTATTATGATATTGAAATGAGGCTATAATATCTCTCCATTTTTATGGCAAAAAATCAGCGAACAAAATATCATTTTTATGAATTCCACCAAAAAGTATATCGAAAATGTGATGTTCTTCTAATATTCATCAAAACAGTTGATCTTGTGAAACATTCCAAAGATGTCGCTATCATATTGTTAAAAGTGATATTTTAAATACGCTTAAACACATGAAGCTCAAATTTATGTTTATTTCAAAGCTTTGAAAGACCAATTGATTATTCCAAGCCATTTTAATTTAATATTTAAATGTGGTGATTGATAACTGCCATCTGTAGCTGTACAGTGTACAATTTAGGGTATCGTTGCCATTCATCAAGCTTCAAATCGCAGCTATTAAACTATGGCATGTGTGCTATTCGCAAAGAAAAAACCAAATTATTTGAATAAATTATTCCTTATGGCATTAAATATTCAGCTGTAGACCATTAATATTGGCAATCTTATCGAGATTTTAAAGAAGCGTTTGCTTAAATTGACGAAAAAACCATAAATTAGTTTGAAGTGATTGATTATTCATACTGATTTTCAAATCATCTCTGATCACTCCAAAATCATCTTTTGCCATTGATATACAGTCGTGAACAATATACGAACAAAGAAAACTTAAGAACTGAAAATAAATACGCACTTTCAATATCTGTTCTACCACATTGTGGTAGATCAACATTATCTCTGTTTTTGCATATTTTTAAAATCATGCAAAAAAATCTATAGAAATAAAAACAAAGTTAATTGAAATTCATTTCGACCCATCGTCACACAACACTGTTTATTTACTTTGTAGAACAAATGGCTAGCCTTATTGAAAAGTGATAGTGTACAAAATATTTGAAAAAAAAAAATGTATGTGCACCTAAATGTTTTGTAGTATCAGTCAATAACGTCATGCTTGTAATTCGTATTCACATCACTCGATGAAGCTGAAGTACTCGTCACACACACACATTTTTTTTAGATATTGAGTCCAGACTAAGGTTGAGTCAATTTATTTTTTTTTTTTTTTTTTTGGTTTTTTTGGTCATTTCCATACGTTGGACCCGGCATTAGATACTGAATTAATATTTCTACATCATCATAATCAATCGAACAGAATACGGATGGATCGACCTCCGAATGAAACAAATTATTCGACAACCAAATCGCAATAATATGGTTCGGTGCAGGAAATGTGTTGCAAATATGCTGTGATATATATCAAAGTGGAATAATCCATAAATACATAATCCCAATGATTTTAAAAATTAAAAAATCGCGATCATATTTTACCATTTTCGATCTCTTTTTTTCCTAGTTAAATTGATCGATTTGCTCCCCATTCCACTTTTTTACCACGAATATTTGGCCTCTAAACGTCAGTTTGAAGCATTTGCAAAACTGAATGAATGACCGGTATGTGATACAAATACAAATCGATCAGTGATAACGCATAATGACTTAAATGTAAATTCGTTATTGGTGGGCGAATACCCGGCATATATTGACGATAATGATGACAGTTTATGCAAGTCTTATTTTATACATGTATCTCTTTCATCGATTTCTATCTTTTTTTCGTTTCAAATATGTTGCACACACAAAAATTTATGCATATGATTTAAGAATAATATTAATCGTTTTTTTTAATTGAGTCCTTGTTTCTCATAAATTGATTTTTTGTGTCTCTCACCGCTTCGCTACCAATCCATTCTATAATCATTCATTTGGTGTCAAATGAGATTGAAAACTGTTCTTTATGACAGTGTCAATATGTTGGCCATTTTTATCCTGCCATTATTTTCGCTCTTTTCACTCAGCTGGTCATGCAAATTAAATCCATAAATTTAATTTCGAAACTTGAATGACCAAACATTTTTATCACGCATTAAGAATATTTCCATAATTTTTGCATCAACATCGTGAATATGTTTAGCATTGAAATCGCCAAAAAAGTCAAGTTTTTTTTGTTGTTGGAGAAAGCCTATCATGGTTCGATAACATACTACGATTTTTTTTTTTAAATCAACACAACATATAAACAATGTTAAAACACGCAACTATATCAATTAAATGTGTTTCACGATTTTGTCCATATATAATTAGAAAATGTAGCATCATTAAAAAAAAGTCTTAAATGTCAAGTTTAAAATATACAGTACGCACTATATATGTGGTTGCTATTTTTTTTCTTTGAGAAATAAAAAAATTTGCATTAAAATTTAATACGATGCGATGGTAAAAATGTGATCGCTGAATGTTCAACGAGACTTTTGTCGCCGACATCGCAAAATCATTTTCGCATATAAATTATAAATTGGCCATAATCGTCGTTCAAAGTGTTCGAAGACCAACCGAACAATTTAGATATCTGTTTATGGTTTTTATTTGCAAGTTACACATCTGTAACACATTATGACACAAGAATGCCTGCTTTTTACCTGGTCTAGCTATATAGTTTATCGTTTGAAGGAAACTATAGTTTCAGATTTCTGCAGCTAATGCTTTTGTCTGTCGTTTTAGAATTGTTTGATTTATGTTGCGAAGTTCTTTTTTTCTCGTCTAATTTCTATAATACGCCAAACAAATTTGAAGACAACGGTTGAATAAACTGTCGAGTAGTAGCATCACTTGAAATCAAATGAGCAAAAGTCATTGATCACATTGAGACATCGCCAAACAAAAAGTGAATACAAAAGTCTGGTCTGTGCCAATTGTATTACGAGAATGAATTGCGATTTTTCGACACTTTTTTTTGGCCACTGTTGGTGTTGTTTTATTTTAATAGTCTCTAAATAAACAATCTTTTAATCGATTGGTTCTAATACATTTGGATGACTAATTTTGATTTGGAAATGATTAAAAATGTTTAGGAGTTTTGTCTTTCAGAAATGCCATCAAAATGTGGAAATGATTGATATCAAAATCACAGCATTAATATAATTCGATATAATTCGATCAATAGAGAATGGTTGATTACAAAAATGAAAGATTGGTATTTGGTTTTTTTTTTACTGACATTGAAAATGATTTTTCTCTAGTTTAGTGTCAAAATTAATAGGAATGAATATATAAGCATTTGGTCCATTGAGTAGAATATTATTTTATTTGCATTCAATCATTCTTCGATTTTGCCAGAGAGTAGAAAACACTACCGCTTTAGTAATACTAGTGTTTTCTACTTTCGGATTTTTTTCGCGTTTAAAATCTTTTAATTCTCTATTTTTTTACCAAAATATTGTTAATGGTATTTTTTTAAATCTTTCTGATGATAATACCACTTAAGATTTAGCATGAAAAATTATCCCATATCACTAAATGATCACTAGTAATATTGTCGCTTAAATGACCATATTGAATAGAACACGATTCTGATCATTATTCTTAAGATGTAAGTATCGTAGAAAAAAATGGCCAACGTCGCCTCATAAAAATGCTATTGTAAGATGATGTTATTTATCTTTTTTTAAGTTATCAACAGCGAACGAACTCAAACATAACACACGCATATACATAGATATTAATTAATAATGAAGCACTGCTGACGAACTGCGTCATAATCATCATCTCGTGTCTCACTGTTAAGCTCTTAGGATAGAGAGAAGAAAAAAAAACTACAAAGACTGGATGATGAAACACTAATTTGTTTTGGTTCAAACGATGTTCGCAGGCCAAACATGGATGAAAGGGAAAAAAGGCAAATGACCGGTTTTATCATTGCTTGTGGTCAGTTTCGGCCAACAAATTTTTGGTATAAAAGACATTGTGATTCGGCTAACAAATCATTCACAAGCCTTCCTAGCGTTGGTAAAGATATATTCGGTTTAAAGCCACAGATAAATTTAAAAAACACTTTAAAAATGGTGAGCAGCAATCAGAGTCATTTAACTCATTCTAAATAAAAATTAGACAGACACGATTATCAAGTGATCATCAATTTTGATCGATTAAAAATTGTTTTGTTAAGTGCCTAAATAATAATTATTTTGCACATTGGATTACTTGAATATCATGGAATTTTATATTATAATCGATAAGTGCTAAGTGAAAGTGTTTGTTTGTAGTTAAAATTCAAATTGTTCGTTTTTATTTTCATTTTAGAAATACTTGTTTGTCCTTGCTTTGGTCGCTGCTGTAAGCGCTGATGTTTCACACTTGATGTACCTTCCACCGCCACCAGCATCACATGGCGTAAGTGATTTTCCTTTCATTTTATTGTAATTTGGAATCAGTCGAAAGTGAATATTAACGTTAATGTTATAAATATTATATATTTATTGACTTTAATAAAATGTTTGCAGAGCCCTGTGAGTCCACCACAACCAAATAACGAATATTTGCCACCATCTTCAGCTTCAAGCCACCAAGGACCAGCTCCAGGTAAGAAAACGGAATTAATCCGTTCAGTAAACTATTAGATGCACTCTTATTAGTTTTGAATCAATGCACAAAATCTTATGCACCCATTACCATTTTTGCACCCCTTTATTACTATCCACACACAAAAAAACACACAGTTCACGTCGAATCTTCCCATCACGCTGTTAATGTGCCTGCTCCACAAGCACCACACCACGTCGAATCACATCACGAAGCTCCAGTAGCTGTTCAAATGCCAGCTTCAACCTATTTGCCAGCTCCAGTTGCTCACCACCAACCTGCCCCAGTTGAACACCATCAAACCGCCCCAGTTGAACACCATCAAACCGCCCCAGTTTACTCAGCACCCGCCCCAGTTGAACATCATCAACCCGCCCCAGTTTACTCAGCACCCGC